TCAATCGATAAGAACCTTGCGACATGTACACTGTGGTGTACACTTTAGTTTACACTTTGCCTCGTGTCATTACCATGTTAGAAAATTTAAATTTCAAACAATTTTCCCATCCAATTGACACTTGACAACAATGCAAGTGTCAAACAACGTGTCCAAAATCAGTGTACAAATAGCAAAGTTCAATCAGTAAGAATCTTGCTACATTACACTATGGTATACGCTTTAGTTTATCCTTTGCCACGTGACATCACCCTATTGGACAGTCTAAATTTCAAATAGTTTTCTCATCCAATTGACAGTTGACAACAATGCAAGTGTCGAACAATGTGTAAAAAATTAATTTATAAATAGCAAATTTCAATCTGTAAAAACCTTGCTACATGTATACTATGATGTATACTTGAGTTTCCCATCCAATTGACACTTGACTACAAAGCAAGTGTCAAGCAACGTGTCCATAATCAGTGTACAAATAGCAAAGTTCAATCGGTAAGAATCTTGCTACATTACACTATGGTATACACTTTAGTTTATCCTTTGCCACGTGACATCACCCTATTGGACAGTCTAAATTTCAAATAGTTTTTTCATCCAATTGATACTTGACAACAATGCAAGTGTCAAACAACATGTAAAAAATTGATGTATAAATAGTAAATTTCAATTGGTAAGAACCTTGCTACATGTATACTGTGGTGTACACTTGAGTTTACACTTTGTCACGTGACATTACCATGTTGGACAATTTAAATTTCAAACAGTTTTTACATCCAATTGACACTTGACAACAATGCAAGTGTCAAACAACGTGTCAAAATTCAGTGTAAAAATAGTAATGTACAATCTGTAAGAACCTTGCGACGTGTACACTATGGAGTACACTTTAGTTTACACTTTATCACGTGACACTACCCTGCCGAATAATTTAAATGCGAAACAGTTTTCCCATTTAATTGACACTTGACAACAATGCAAGCGTCAAACAACGTGTCAAAAATCTGTGTACAAATAGTAAATTTCAATCGGTTTAGACCTGGCCACATGTACACTCTTGCGTACACTTTAGTTTACACTTTGCCACGTGATATCACCCTTATAACGCCCCGAATTCTCTAGCAACCCGGAACGTTATCAAACGTGAATTGATTAATAAAGTGCTTGAGGCAAATACATTTTAATATAACGAGGAATTCAGTAAAAATTGAACAACCTTAACAAAAAGGTAAATTAAATTAAATAACATATGCAAAACAATTTGGAATCATATCTTTTATCAAACATTAATAAAAGTAGTTCTAACAAACAATAAAAATAGGACTAATTGAAAGTTATGACGTGACTCAAAATTGAGTCTAAATTTAAAAATAATAATAATCAACTGTTAATAAATATTCTAGTGTTCTAAAAATTAAAGTACTTCATGATGGAGATCCATTGGTCCAATATGCATCCATCCACCGCCATTCATGTAACATCCCAAAAATTTTAGAATAAAAACATATTTGTTTCATATGTTATATTTCAAAAGTTGAGGGACTAAGATGTAATATATTTTAAATTCTTATATTTTGAGTCAAATAATTAAAATCGATACTGGGCTCATTGGGTAGCTTGTAATTAATTATGCATTTTAGACTTGAGAAAAAGTTAATTTGAATAAGTTATAGCCAAGATTTTATAGTTCTAAAGTTTTAAGCTTTATTGTTAATGAAATTGGTAAGTAATATTATTTTAAATAATATGTATAGCCACGTGTGCTTTAGATTAAGGATTAATTCGCTTAGTTTCCCTTATTAGTTAGCTAGGGAAGGATTTGGAATCAGGCATAAGTAAACTAGAATTTATGTGATTAAGTCACATTGCAATCAAATTCTATTAAAGTTCTCCACTTTTGCTCTCGGTTTGACAAAAGAAAATAAACTTAAACTAAATAAGAGTTTTATTAGTTATATTGTTCGTTTGTATTAAAATAAATTAAGCCTTGTATCCTATGCAATTAGGAGTCCAACTTATCTTAATGTGTGCATGCATGGATAATGGTAACTTAATTGGAAATAAATTAATTCAAGGAAATGTATTTAATATGTATTTTTTTAAAGATAATTAGCAAATTAAGATTATAATATTTTATTATATAATCACGTTAATCTTTATTTGCAAAACATGGAATAATGTCTAATTCTATTTTCCCAATTGAAACCTATTATAACAAAGTTAGTTTTCTTGATTAGCAAAAGGCCGTGTCTTTTAAGATAATTAGGAAAAGAATGTAATATTTTAGTTATATAATCTTGATTATCTTTGATTTGAAAAATGATTTAACCACATCCAATTCTGTTATCCCATCCACTATAACAAAATCATTTTTGGCCATTGATGTACACGTGCATCCTATCAAATCTGTTTAAGCTCACAGTAATCAAAATGTGTCCCTTTTCGTTTTGGCATGTGAATTGGTTGGGTTTTCATAAACCATAATCTCGTATATAATATATGAAATGAGATTATAATTTTTTTTAAATTCAGATAAATTTGTTATAGAATTATCTTATGTGCGATTGACTTATCTTTAAGTTGAGAATATATCTAATCCAATCTTAATCAAATTTTTTGGTTTAAATCACAAAAGGATATATGTAACAAATTTTGTTTATATGGCGTGTGGATAAATATGGTTAGTATTTTAAAGAAAATCGTATATGGATAGAGTGATCAATATTTGAAATTTAAAATCCAAGCAAATTATCCTATTCCTTATCAACTACCTTATGTTTGCCTATAAATACTGAAGCCATACACATGTTTTTGCCATCAACCCCATTCCTTTATTTTGATTTCATTCTTTAAGTTCAGCAAAAATCCCCTATTATATTCATATTCTACCAAAATCATAATTCTCTTGCCTCTTTATTTTCATCTATTACATGCCCATACAAGGCAACAATTCGTAAGCAGGAAATAAAAGAAAACAGTTGGAACGTGACTCTTGGTTTTCTTTCAACATTTATTTGATAAGGTAGGATACTATGTACAAGTGATTCATCCTTGCAATAGTATAATTTTTTTTATGTGATTTATTTCATGAAATGCTAATTGACCTAGAGGTCCTTATGAAATGAAATGTGAGATCTCCTTCGAGTCATCTCAAATATGTTAGAGTATTCGATTGATCACCGATTGCTCTTGATGGAATGATGGTATGGAATGTTGTAAATTCGTGTTTTAAAAGTTATTATATTGTTTGGACGCACGTATCCTACCGAGTAATACTCATTCCTTCAATTTTAACATTCCAGGTCAGATTGGTCAACGTGGATGGTGGCTGAGTGGTGCGCAGGTTGCCAAGTAAAATTTTTTTTTCAGGAATCCATAATAAATTTGTTAAGACATTTTATGTTTCTCTTTCATTCCATTTATGACACTATGTTTATTTGATTCGGTGTTTGAGTTTCAATAAATTAAGGTTTTAAGTTTTAAATTTTATTTCTGCTTGATGTATGATTATGGAATGATATCGGTAACTCCTCAAATTTAAGTCAATAATATTTGGGGCGTTATAGTGTGGTATCAGAGCAAAGGTTGATTTTCCTGTAGACCAAAAAAAAAAAATTGGTATTTTAAGAAAATTTTTTCCACTTATTGTTTGAGTTTTCTTGATCTGAGTATTCGCAAGATTAAAGGGCTTTGTCAAAAAGACCTAAACTGTCTAAGAAGAGCTTGGGATTTAAGCGGTCTACTGGTGACCCCCTCCTCATCTGGAAGCCTGTTGATTGCGCGTTACTCAAATCAATAAGATGATAGACAATATTTCGGACCATTTTAAATTTAAGAAAATCATATTTTTTTTAGAAAACATTTTTTTTTAGAAATCCTAATATATATATATATATGCATGAATAGGTGTTTTCTTTAAAATAATTTAAAAAAATGGGAAATTACTGTTCACGGATGAACAGTGACGCTAGAATAGTGAAAATAAAATTGGATTTTTTTTATGGCATTATGTGCCTTAATCAATATGTAATTATATATTTTGAAACAAACTTCCCCCATGTTAGCCGACATTTGCTTTTTAAGTGAATATTAAATTTTAAGTTCTTAAAACTATATTCAACTCTCTTTTGTACTTGTGTGTTACTACTATGATTTTACTTTCAAGGATGTACATGTATTATATGTTTATATATGAGTATGCAATTTTGTGGTAGCATGAATTTTTAATTGCATATTAATCGGTTTAAAACTATTTTTGAATTAAATAATAAATAGTACTCAAAATGATGGACATGCACTTCAGTTTAAGTAACACTAATGTGTATACCTCTCATGTCATATTAAATTGCTTACTTAATTAATGGACATGTTTTGAGTAAGAAATATTTTTACCATTAAGTTCATAACGTGGATAACATATATTATTTCTTGCATTTAGAAATATGTTTTTACAAAAATAAAAATGAATAAATAATAAGAGGCTAATCATTAATTATCCCTAAAATTTTTAATTTTCTACCAATTAATATATAATATGTAAAGAATTCACAACTGCCCCTTGTATGTTCCATTATCCCTACACAGTACAAGCTTCGGAATTTCATTATATTTTGTTTCATGTATTGATAAGCCCGTTAGCAAGAAATGAAAATTTATATAAACAATTTCAGAAACAAGTATTATAAAAGATTCTTGGCACCTAGCATTCACCAATCAACTACCACCTGACGGACCGAAGGTATTACGTAATATGTTTTTAATTTTGAGCATGAGATATACATCCCTATGTTGAGAAATGAAATGAAATGTTCTAGTATGAATTGTGAGCATGATATTTATTTTGCCGCAACTTATGAAATGTTTTTCCCGCATGTTTTTAATCAACTTAATCATTTTAATAATAGTATAATCTTTTATCCTTATAATGAGTTATGAGAGCATAAAAGGCAATGCGCTACCATTAATAAAATGTTAAGCATATTGGACTTGGCATGTGTGTGACAGTAATGGCTAGAACTAGAGAGACTGCTAGGAAGACAACCGCTTGTAGGAGTGTTCTAAACCATAGGGCAACAGTTATACAAGCCTACGAGAATTATGAGATAGACCCGACTCACACACTTATTGAGCATGTGGAAGAAGTCTTCGCTAGGTGGGTTGCGGCAAGAGGGGTAGGACACAAGATTACACCCCTTCAAGCTATTAACAATCTTATCCATACCCTGCCACCTCAATGGGGAGACATGGGCATTGTGGTTAGGGATGAAATGCTAGAGGGTAACCCTCCAGAGCACCCAGAAAGGATCGAGTTTGAGCTGTATTGTGAAACATTTCTAGATAGGTGGATTTCTACTCTCGAGCCTGAGCCCGAGCCCGAAGAGGACCTAGAAGAAAACCCAGAGGAGGAGCCGAGTTATGAATCTAATTCAGATAACGAGCCAGAGTATGTACCAGGACAAAAGCCAGAACTAGAACCAGAGCAGGAGCTAGGGTTCGAACTAGACCCCGAGCTAGAGGTTGACCAAGAATCCGAGCCTGAGTCATGTACATCTTTGGATGATGAAGCCCCTCCATCTAAGCTTCGTAGGATTCAGAATGTTTGGACAATCGAAGATGAAGACTAGCAACCTAGAGATAGTTTAGTTAAAATAAATATTTTCTTCCTTGGAAAAAAAAAATGTAATCAGTACTTGAAATAATTCGTAGGTTTTTCTTCTTTCAATCATCCCTCATGTATTCTAGGATTTAAAGTTTTATGAAATTGAGTTTTTCCATTCGAATAAATAGAGTTGTTGTTAACTATTTCTAAAATAAAATTTATTTGGCTGATTTAAAAGAAATGGCACGTCAACCAACACAAGCTGCTATGTTTAGGGATTTGTTGAGAGCAGTGCAAGATCTTGGTAAGCAGCAAACACAAGCGCCTCCACAAAATGCACAAACTAACTCCAACACTACGAGCTCAGTTGTGGAACAGTTTCGTCGTTACAAGCCCCCTACCTTTAATGGGATAGCTGGCCCTCTGGCAGCCGAAGAATGGATAAGGGGTTTGGAACGAATCTTCAAGCATCTCTCTTGCACCGATGCCCAAAAGGTTTTATGTGTAGAGTTCATGCTAGTTGATGCAGCTGGCCACTGGTGGGAGTCCGTTTCACGGACTAGAACTGAGGCACAACAACGTAACCTCACCTGGGCACGTTTCAAAGAGGAGGTGATGGGAAAATATTTTCCACAAGCCCTGAGAGATCGAAAGGAGATAGAATTTCTACAACTTAAGCAAGGAAAGATGGCATTGCTTGATTATGAGAGGAAGTTCGAACAACTTTCCAGGTATACAACGCATCTAGTGGATACAGAGCAAAAGAAAGCTAGAAGGTTCGAACTCAGACTGCGCCCAGAAATCGGAGGAATCATGGCATCTCATGAATTTACTACGTACAGTCAAGTTCTACAACGAGCTCAAGCAATTGCAAATCGACTAGGACTCGATCAAACAACTCAAGAAAGTACTGAATTTTCAGGAAAGAGGAAATGAAATGGTCCTAACGAAGGTAAAGGAAATGGACAAAATAAGAGGGCTAGTTTTGAAAGGCAGTTAGGATCAAGCAAGCCGAATAATGTTCTTACTCCTTGTCCTAAGTGCAAAAAGGCTCATAGAGGTGAGTGTTTGTATGGAAAGAATATATGCTATCGATGTGGAGGGTCATATTGCTACCAATTGTCAGGAACCCCCACCAAAGAGGGAAAACGATCAAAGTAAAAAGGGACCAGCTAGAGTCTTTGCTTTAACCCAGCAAGAGACAACTGAGAATTAGGACATGATGATAGGTATTTTATCAATATCTGAATTACTTGCCTATGTTCTTATATGTTTAGGAGTTGTTCATTCCTTGTTTACCCTGTTTTCATTGCCAAATCTTGAACTAGTCGCTAAGGAGCCAGTAGTGTTCTAGAAGTTACTATTCCAGTGGCAGTACACTTAATACAAGCAAATAGATAGATAGGTCAAGATAGAAAAGAATGTATAGCTAACTTATACCTTTTAAAGATGAAGTATTTTTATGCCATCCTAGGGATGGATTGGTTGGAAAACTTTTATGCGACAATATGAAGCTTGGAGAAGAAGAAAAGATTTTAGAAGTCTGGAAAAGAGGAGATTAAGGTCATATACCTCAGACTTTTCACTTAGATAAGAAATTTCGAGGACGAAATTATTTTAAGGGGGTGAGATTGTTACATCCCAAAAATTTTAGAATAAAAACATATTTATTTTATATGTTATATTTCAAAAGTTGAGGGACTAAGATGTAATATATTTTAAATTCTTATATTTTGAGTCAAATAATTAAAATCGATACTGGGCTCATTGGGTAGCTTGTAATTAATTATGCATTTTAGACTTGAGAAAAAGTTAATTTGAATAATTTATAGCCAAGATTTTATAGTTCTAAAGTTTTAAGCTTTATTGTTAATGAAATTGGTAAGTAATATTATTTTAAATAATATGTATAGCCACGTGTGCTTTAGATTAAGGATTAATTCGCTTAGTTTCCCTTATTAGTTAGCTAGGGAAGGATTTGGAATCAGGCATAAGTAAACTAGAATTTATGTGATTAAGTCACATTGCAATCAAATTCTATTAACGTTCTCCACTTTTGCTCTCGGTTTGACAAAAGAAAATAAACGTAAACTAAATAAGAGTTTTATTAGTTATATTGTTCGTTTGTATTAAAATAAATTAAGCCTTGTATCCTATGCAATTAGGAGTCCAACTTATCTTAATGTGTGCATGCATGGATAATGGTAACTTAATTGGAAATAAATTAATTCAAGGAAATGTATTTAATATGTATTTTTTTTAAGATAATTAGCAAATTAAGATTATAATATTTTATTATATAATCATGTTAATCTTTATTTGCAAAACATGGAATAATGTCTAATTCTATTTTCCCAATTGAAACCTATTATAACAAAGTTAGTTTTCTTGATTAGCAAAAGGCCGTGTCTTTTAAGATAATTAGGAAAAGAATGTAATATTTTAGTTATATAATCTTGATTATCTTTGATTTGAAAAATGATTTAACCACATCCAATTCTGTTATCCCATCCACTATAACAAAATCATTTTTGGCCATTGATGTACACGTGCATCTTATCAAATCTGTTTAAGCTCACAGTAATCAAAATGTGTCCCTTTTCGTTTTGGCATGTGAATTGGTTGGGTTTTCATAAACCGTGATCTCGTATATAATATATGAAATGAGATTATAATTTTTTTTAAATTCAAATAAATTTGTTATAGAATTATTTTATGTGCAATTGACTTATCTTTAAGTTGAGAATATATCTAATCCAATCTTAATCAAATTTTTTGGTTTAAATCACAAAAGGATATATGTAACAAATTTTGTTTATATGGCGTGTGGATAAATATGGTTAGTATTTTAAAGAAAATCGTATATGGATAGAGTGATCAATATTTGAAATTTAAAATCCAAGCAAATTATCCTATTCCTTATCAACTACCTTATGTTTGCCTATAAATACTGAAGCCAGACACATGTTTTTGCCATCAACCCCATTCCCTTATTTTGATTTCATTCTTTAAGTTCAGCAGAAATCCCCTATTATATTCATATTCTGCCAAAATTATAATTCTCTTGCCTCTTTATTTTCATCTATTACATGCCCACACAAGGCAACAATTCGTAAGCAGGAAATAAAAGAAAACAATTGGAACGTGACTCTTGGTTTTCTTTCAACATTTATTTGATAAGGTATGATACTATGTGCAAGTGATTCATCCTTGCAATATTATAATTTTTTTTATGTGATTTATTTCATGAAATGCTAATTGACCTACGGGTCCTTATGAAATGAAATGTGAGATCTCCTTTGAGTCATCTCAAATATGTTAGAGTATTCGATTGATCACCGATTGCTCTTGATGGAATGATGGTATGGAATGTTGTAAATTCATGTTTTAAAAGTTATTATATTGTTTGGACGCACGTATCCTACTGAGTAATACTCATTCCTTCAATTTTAACATTCCAGGTCAGATTGGTCAACGTGGATGGTGGCTGAGTGGTGCGCAGGTTGCCAAGTAAAAGAAATTTTTTTAGGAATCCATAATAAATTTGTTAAGACATTTTATGTTTCTCTTTAATTCCATTTATGACACTATGTTTATTTGATTCAGTGTTTGAGTTTCAATAAATTAAGGTTTTAAGTTTTAAATTTTATTTCTGCTTGATGTATGATTATGGAATGATATCGGTAACTCCTCAAATTTAAGTCAATAATATTTGGGACGTTATAGTCCGGCATACTAATTTCTACCTGAAAATTGTAAATAGAGAGGGATGAGTATAACGAATTATACTCAATGAGATGCTTGCTACTTCACATTCAAATCAAACGTGAAATTATGCATAAATTCTCTTACCAACATAACATGAGAATTATCACACCATGACAAATGATAATTCAAGCAAGCGCTGCAAATAATGTGAAGGCTAAATTGTGCCTTAAACTATATCATGATTTCTCCCAAACGAGTTCTGAACTGAAGTAATTAATTCCATACATAACAACGTATTTGAAAAGATGTGGACAAACCACTAATAGCACTGAGCATCTCACCTTTTGAAGATGAACGCGGAAAACAAAATTGCTGAAAACGTGATTCTTTATTGAAATTCCAAAGCCTTAAAAAGCCTTAATAATATGGAGAAATATTTTTAAAGAGGAGGAGAGAATAAAGACTTGTAGAAGAAGAATGAGGAATTAATGACTAAATGCTTGAGGTTTAGTGCTATGTTTATACTAAACCATGGTGTAGGGTAATCACGTGGGAAGTGGAATTTTGATAAGTTTTGAATTCTAAATTTGGGGATAACTATTGGGTTCAGATAAATTCCATATCAACCACAATTATAATAGGAAAAAGATTTAATGGCATTGAAATTGTATGACCCCTTTACGTGGGTATGGTATCTCCAAATTGCATGAGATATATATATTTATTATTCTAATAAAACAACTTAATTGATAGCTAATTAATTTCTTGTCTTCGATTAAAACAAAATAAATGGGAGACTGTTTCAAATGAAATAACTTAACTAGTTTAATTAATTAAAGTCCTAACTATTCTAATACGATAATTATTAGAAGACTTTATCATAATCAAAATCCTACATGATTAGGAATAATAGTTTCTATCCTAATCAAAGTAGATAAGTAAACAATTATTATAATAAATAGACTTTATCGCTACATATCATTTGCACATGAAGGAAAAACTAGAGTCATATGCCCAGCCAAATAGATTAAGTTTCTGTTAACCTATTTAAATCAAACCACGTAAATTAACTAAAAATGTACCTTCAAAAATAATCTGCCTGGGAGGGAGTTCTAATTATTCTAATACAATATAATTTGAAGTCTATCATAATTAGAAATTGGATAAAAGAGAAGGTATTTAATTCCTCTAAAAATTTGATTAATTAATTAGAATTCTAATTGGTGATTTTTTTTTTTTTGGGGATTCTGCAAAGTTCTAAAATTGCGATTAAGAAAAAGATAAAGAGGCTGCATGACCCTTACACACGTGGACTACATATACACTGGTTTTGTAAAGATGGAGTTTTAATATGAAATAGTGATTGACTTTATCTAAGCCGAATTCTACATGGTTAGGAATAATAATTTATATCCTAATTAAAGTAGATTAGCATTACAAGGAATTTAATAGTTTCTGGAATATTATTATTATGTTTTAATCAATTATCTTTAAATTCCTTAATTGTCAATACCTATCATATTAAATTCCTTAATTGTCAATACCTATCATATTAAATTCCTAATGGCCGAGACCTGATAATTAGAATTTTCATTTATGGCTTGATTCTTCCATTGAATTTTATCTTAATTCAACTAATCCAAAATATTCTTTTCTTAATCCTAACATATATAATTAATTATTATCTATCAAAGGAGTCCAATATTGATATAGTAATTTAGCTCGAATTAATAACTAATATTATTAACTAAGTAGTTTTCTTAATTGGCTATAACTCAAGTTTAACGAATCCAAATTGAATTTTTCTTGAGTCCATAATTCGTCATTTATTACGAGCTTCAAAATGAGCACAACATTGATAGGGTAATTCTAACTCCTTCAATAATTAACTATTTGGCCTATTTAATAAAGGTATAAAATCTGAAACTTATTTTCACTTTGGTCCCTCAACTATAAAGATATTCACATAGATCCAAATTAACTATAGAGACAACCAATTAACTTGTATAAGGACTTAACTGAACATTGCATTCCTATTAAATAAATTAATGCTAAGTAAAAATTCGGGATTTTACAACCCTGTTGGACAGTTTAAATTTCTAATAGTTTTCCCATCCAATTTACACTTGACTACAAGGCAAGTACCAAAAAACGTGTCAAAGATCAGTGTACAAGTAGCAATGTTCATTCGGTAAGAACCTTGCGAAATTACACTATGGTGTACACTC